GCAGAACCCATCTCACACTCCCATGGCTATCTTAGCTTCAGAGTACGAGCAGAATTATCATTAATAGAAATGTATTTGGAAAGTCAACCTTTAACAAGTTTGATTAAATAAAAAGGAAGAGGCCATTTCTAACCATAACTTCTGGGTTTTTTTTAAATAAAGAGAACAGGTTAAATACAAGAAGATTTAAAGAAAGGTGTAAGAAAGGGTTTTACAGATAACTAAATTACTCAGCTCATAATTCTTCTGGATACAATAATTAATGCATGCCAACAGCATTTCCCATTAACTATTACATCCTGATAATAATTCTAATCCTCAACTGAAAAATAAATGAGACCAAGCAATTATGTACAAAACAGGCACTGAAGAGCAATTCAAGTTAGGAAATAGCTTCTGACAGACCACACAGCAGACTTGAGTATTTTGCTGGGGTTGCTGGAATCTAGCACACAGCTGCAGTGCAATTTTTAACTTTTATTCTCTGCAGAAAGAATCTTTAACCTTTTGTGACATGATCAAAGAATACAGGAACTTTACACCATGAAATTGTTGATACAGTGGAATAGTTTGCCATCTAGAAATAGAAGTAAAAGTCTCTCAGATTTAGTTTCACCTGAATTAATGTTAAGATAATAGGCTCAGAAACTGTGCTCTTTGAAAATGCCTTAGAACATCAGAACATTAACATAAAAGGTTTTCACAACACAATGAAGCCAACCTAAATAGCTAACTGATAAAAATGAATTATTTAAGTACCTGACCATTCCATAAGTCTATAGTTACAGCAGCAACCACCAATAAAGCCAGGTCTACATTAGACCCGGCAGCTTGGCTTAAGGTACACAACTCCAGCTATGTAGAATACTGAGCTGGAGTTGGATTACCTTAAATCGAGCTTGGTGGCATCCCCACAGAATGCTTCCGGCAGCTTCCCTTACTCCTTGCAAAAGCAGGATTACAGGATACCGGCGGGGGCGCCCTCGGAGTTTGATTTGGTGAGTCTTTACTAGACTTGCTAAATCGAACTCTGGAAGATCGACTGCGGTAGTGGTCTTCTTCTGTTCACTGTAGTCAAGGCCTAAATGAATGGAAGATGCAGTTTTCTTTAGCTTAGAGGTACAGAGGTAAGGACTGTTTTAGGCCATCTAACCCAGTCCCTCACCACTGCAGGATTGTTTTCTACAGTTCAACTTCCTATACTTAGCACAACTGTAAGTCCCCCCAGTGATAGAACTTTCAAAACTCCCTTGGAGCAGCTGTTCCATGGTAACAGGACTCTGTTAGGCAACTTCTTACACAATTTTACTGTACTTAATTTCACCCTATTACTCCAACTTACACTCCATTCCACAAAACATTCTTCTCCGTTATTTGTGATTAAACTGGTAGACAATCAAGTCCACTTACATAGAATCCATCTGTGGGTATGACCACACTGCAGTTAGACACCTGCAGAGAGTCAAGGCCAGCTGATTTGGGCTCACAAGGCTCAGGATCAAGGGCTGTTGAATGGTGATGTACATACTGGAGTCTGGGCTCCAGCCCAAGCTCTTGGCCCCTTCAAGACGGTAGGATCCCAGAACTCAGGCTGAACCCTGAGATTGAATGCCTACACTGCTGTTATATACCTGGATTTCTCTTATTTTCACTCCAATTCATCTGATGAAGTGGGTTTAACCCACAAATGCTCATGATGCTATATATTTGTGTTAGTTTAAAAACAATAGAGGTCCTGTGATACCTTAATGTTATAGACTAACACAGCTTTAATAAGGAACCTTTTACACATTTCTTGTTTGGAAAGGAAAGGCTTTGCCACAGAGTTTATATTATTAAACAAAGATGTGTCTGTATTGTCAAAACCACCACTGATTTTAAAAAAATCCTTCTGCGAGCTAGAGCTTGTTTTAATAAATAGCTTTTTGTTTCGGGTTGATCTGAAACTGCAATGGAAATCTATTAGATTTTCATGAAAATTACCTTGGTATAATCAATTGTAAATTACCAGAATCACTGGCTAGTAAACAAAGCAGAAACCGGAATTTTCTATTTTATATGTGGAAATCTGAAGCAAAGCAGTCATATATCAAGACTGAAAGTCAAAAAAGAATCCAGATGCATCAAGAGCTAGTGCTGAACTTTAATTGTAACACCTGTGTGTTGGGGTGCAGTCAAAAGACCCTTTGGGCTTGCTCTCCAGTGTGACGATCATGCCACCAATGCCTGCCTTATTGCTCTCTGTGGCTCCCCACCATCTTCTCCTGTTAAACTAGATCCTCTGGTCTCCCCCAGACAAGACACAGAGTTGGGGTTACTACCCTCCTGAAGAGCAAAGCAGACACTGATCTACTTCAGTTCTGGGAGAATGCAGTTCTAAGGCACAACACCCAAGGAACTAACCCCTAAAAGGGATCAAACCCCCCAAATAAATCCAGAAGTGTTATTAAATACCAGTTGGACCTCCCTTGTCTGACACACTCAGGAGTTGACTAGTCCTGAATGAGGAATTTTGCCAGACCAGGGGTGCTCATTTCTAGCCCCCCTGCCACCACTCAGCCTGGATCTGCTCCTGGCTCAGCTTCCAACCAGACAGCTCCCTCCCACCCCCACCACCAGGGCTCACAAATAAATCCAGAAGTGTTATTAAATACCAGTTGGACCTCCCTTGTCTGACACACTCAGGAGTTGACTAGTCCTGAATGAGGAATTTTGCCAGACCAGGGGTGCTCATTTCTAGCCCCCCTGCCACCACTCAGCCTGGATCTGCTCCTGGCTCAGCTTCCAACCAGACAGCTCCCTCCCACCCCCACCACCAGGGCTCACA